GAGTTCTTGATAATAAAATTTTAACTTCTTACCACCATAGAAGGATCTAAGAAGAGAGCCATGTAACAACATGAATACAGGATAAAGAAAGAGCCTTTTATAATAGATAAAGAAACACTTCATGATCCTAATGCCCTAACTCCAGTTTCCCAGTAGCTAAAAGAAACAGGGCAATTCTTGAATTTTCCAAATTTTTTAGTTGTTAACTGATCAAGAGTGCATCTGTTCTTGACAAACAAACTTCTTTAAGCATTTATCAGGAATTAAGAGCAGACAGCTTGATAGATGATCCGTCACAACAATTAACAACAATGTTCAATGATGAAGATCCAAGCAACTGAATCCTCATGCTGTCTTAGTAACCCTGCATCTACTTATTCAATGTCACAACAATATACCATCTGACCCAAGCTATACTCTTCAGGTCACAGCAAGACGACAGGACTCAACATTTTGGAAGCTGATATGAATGCAATTGAGTTTCATGGATGGAGTGCGAGAACATCAAAACCCATGTATGATACCATATTGCACCAACTTGCAAAATCTGACAATTAAAACTGACTTCAAGCAACAACAGAGGAAGTCTTGAGCAAACTCCAAAACCAATGACCAGTAATGTCTCTGCTCAATCTGAATGAGCTTGAACTCCTTCCTTTTTCTCAAATCTATCAACCCATTAATGTTCAACTAGATGATATTTTGAGGGACGGTTATACAGTCATCAATCTGATGACCATTCATCATCCAGGAAGGGACTTACAAAACACGAGTATAGAAACCCGTGTTGCTGTCCATCGAAACACCCTATGATAAGAAACTTAGAAGCTTCTAGCACCAGAAATAATCAAAGATCATATAAAGAGCCAATGTCAATAAACAGATCAGAGAAATATCTGTAACAGTCTAGACCTTGATTGATTCGTATTAGTCACCCTTCCAGCATTATAAGGTCTACCACGGAGTTGATGAGCAGAAGCGGCTTTACGAGCAACGGTTGCTGTTACAGGAAACTGGTTTCCGTTCCCTTGGAAATTAGACCTTCTCTTAGCAAAAGCACCCTAAAAATTATGATATAAATCACAAAAACTTCTAAGTGATAAGACAATGAAGCTAAGCCAACAAACTCACGGAGATCACAACAATACTAACCTGTCTAACATCAGACCGAGAGTCCATATAACGCTGTGCTTTCACCGCACTATTCTTCGCAGCACCATTAAATTTCTCCTTTTTATTCTGCTCAAACACAATAACCACATGCCAAATGTTCAGTAGATACATAAAAATGTAAGCTTTATGAAACTAAGTTACATACCGATGCTCTCTGTTTCTTGCCTTTATTCACATTGGTATTGCTCTTTTCCATCTTGATAATTTCATCTATACCCACAAAACAAATATAAATGATCATGAAGCTATAAATCAAAAAAAGGATACATCTTTGTATGAGTAAACAGCATAAACACACCTAAAGACATGTCCATTTTCTTCTCTGTGAGAGCAACAGTCTCCGTAGTAATCGGTTTTTCAGTCGCCATCTTCAAAAAATCAGACATGGGCAACCAAAATGAGATACATAAACCCTAGTACACTCTCTGACTTGAAGTAACATAGAACACCAAAAATCATAAGTTCTTGAATCAAGCAGTAAGGAAATACACAAGAGATAAGCAAACCCTAGTTTTCAAAGATCAAATTGATATGATTCAAGAATCAAATCAAACAAAACCCTAAAACTAAATTGATTCGTGTGAAGAATGGAGGAGAAGCTAAAGAGATGAAATCTTTTACCGATTTGAGGAAGTCGATTGTCTCACACTGAGACCAAAAGGAAAGGGTTTTTTTTTTTGGTGCGACAACGAGTGAAACCAGAGAGAACTGAGTCAACTCGTAAGTACTTCAACGCAGAAACAGCAGATTTTTTAATACATCGAGTGGTCGGCGGATCCCAAATGGCAATTATTGGGAATGCGAAATTAGTGAAATCTAACGAAATTTAATATTCTTTCTGCTTCTAAATAATGTATTTTTAGAGTTTTCATATATATTATAAAAATATATTAAAATGATTATAAATACATTATTTTTTGTAATTTACAATTTTCTATAACAATTTTGAATTTTCTATAACTCTAAACAATAGTATTCAAATATTTTTGTTAAAGTTTACAATTCATCAATAATAACTAATGATATTGCATACAAAACTTAAAAAACTCTATATTTTAATACATTTTTTTTCCTATAAAATACATTATTTAGGAACAGGTGAATATTTATTTTTGGCAAAAATAGTCGATTATTATAAATCTAAAGTGGTAGCAGTTAAATTTGAAAAAGATGGTTTGCATAATAACTAAAAATTTGTAGAACTCCCTTTTTTATGGGATTCCATCGCTCTTGGAACAGATGATATAAGATCTTACTAAAATAAAAATCTCCTTTGACTTAAAGTCGGCCATTGATCGTTGGCCTGATGGTTTTGCTAGGAACGCTAGCTCATGGCAGGAAATCATACCTTGCCTGATTCTCCTGCGTAGGAGAGCCCAGGCCTCTTCTCTTTTCCGCACCAATCTTAATTGCGGAAGATGTCTTATCACGGGGTCTTACCCGGCTTAAAGCCAAGGCGCAGGAGTAGTCCTATCCGCCCATTCACAATACCTTAAAAATTTATGAAGAGTTGATTAATTAACTATAGACTAATTAAAAACCATATTTGTCCTTTGAAATTATTATTTAAAATAATTTACGAAACTATTTAAGATTACGCAATATTTTTTATATATTAATATATATAAATAAGGGTAATATTAGTAGATAGCCAAATTGGACACATAAATTAAGAAACTAGCAGAGAGAAAATTTTCTGTCGGAAAACAGCATGGACCCACCTTGTCTGAGGATGTGAAATAACAAAACCATCCTCCGTTTGTTTTGAGATCTACAGTAGGCGATATTGTTTCGTGATATTTTTCAAAATAGCACGTAAGATCTAAATTTCACATGTTATATTTAACTAAAAGACATGCTTTTTTAAAAAACGTAATGAATTTTTAAAAAAAACATTGTTACGGAAAAATTAAACTTGAATAGAATCTTTTTATAAAGAAATAACATGTGATCTTAATAAAAACCTTGAATTACTAGAAAATAAGAATTTTTTTTTAAAGAAATCACATGTGATCATAATAAAAAACGTGTATTACTACAAAATAACATGATAGAGAAAGATATTAAACTAAATAGAGTGTTTTTTTCAAAGAAATAACATGTGATCTTAATAAAAACCGTGAATTACTATAAAATAAGAATCTTTTTTTTAAAAAAATCACATGTGATCATAATAAAAAACGTGTATTACTACAAAATAACATGATAGAGAAAGATATTAAACTGAATAGAGTGTTTTTTCAAAAAAACAACATGTGCTCTTTATAAATAACGTGTAATACCGGAAAATAATATGATAAAAAGAGATATATTATTCTATCACATGTAATTCGAGAAAAAAACATGTTATAAGGGCATGTATGTAATTACACGTGGTTTCCGACATCATACAGACAAGTTAATGTAGCTCATGACTATTTTCTTAATTATCTTCAAAAATTTGGCTATTTTGTGCATATTCTCTATAAACAATAACATCTTTTAAAATTTATAGCCATCATTTAAGATGATGTCTTTTCCGAAAGAGTAGCCAGCGTTCGCGACATACTTGGATGCGATTCAAAGCGACAAAGAAGAGTTTGATTTATTTACTTTATCTTTAATTTTACGAAATTCGAATATGAAAGCGGATAAAGTGGCACAAACTGTTCGTACCCAACTGCGTTTTACTACTTATGTAAACAATATTCTACGGCATTGGCTCATTTGAGTCAATCTAATAAAGTTGTTGACAAAAGAAAAATTTATAAAATTATTAAAACCAGTTTCCTAGTTTTTATATATTTTGAAGCAATAATGTTGTGCTTAAAAAGATTCGACATCATAGTGACAAAAGCGTTTATTTGTGAAATCTCAATCACTCATTTTGAAATGCCATTAATCCTTCTAGTTGCCATTTATTGCCAAAAAGTTATGGTCGTATGAACTTTACTTGTCTGACCTAAGATAAGAATAATCAAAGCTTTCTTCATGTTTTTTCTTTTTTTTTTCTTCATGTTGATTGGAGACTTTTGTGTTTTATAATTAATCTTGTGTTGCAGGAGCCAAAAGAAAAAAAAAAACATAAACAAACACAAAGAAATTGTAAAGACGTGGGAACTATAGAAATCACTCATCTTGAAATGTCATTAATAACCTATCTAGTTATCATATTATTGCTAGAAATAAGTGGTCGTATGGACTTAGTTGACCTGAAAATAAGAATAGTCAAAAGTCTTTCTATGGAAAATGAGTGCTCTGAAATTAGCCTAATAAAAGTCTTAGTGTTTAATTTGTAGGTCAGTTTGTTTGTGTTCCTAGCTAGAGCGTGGAGCCGTGGATGACTAGTGAAGCTATGTCGATTGTCGTGGATGTCAGTAGAGTATCAGATGTGGTAGCTCAAGACGCAAATATCTACGAAAGATTGAAGAAGGCGGCTCAAGTTGGAGATATAGAAAGACTCTACGAGTTGATAGCAGAAGTTCCAAACATTTTGGATCACTTTGATAAACTGTCTTTTTGTGAGACGCCACTACACATTGCAGCTGAAAAAGGGCAAACTCATTTCGCCATGGAACTAATGAATCTTAAGCCGTCACTTGCTTTGAAGCTAAACGTGTCAGGTTTAAGCCCAATGCATTTAGCCTTACAAAACAACCACATTCGAACGGTGAGAGGGTTAGTGGCAATCAACAGCAGCTTAGTTAGCATTAAAGGAAGAGGAAGGATTACTCCTTTGCATTATGTGGCTCGAATAGGTGATGTGGAATTGTTAAGTGAGTTCTTGTTTGCTTGTCCTTCTTCTATAAACGATTTGACGATTAAGTGTGAGACAGCTGTGCACATTGCTGTGAGAACCACCAATTTATGGCGTTTAAGGTTTTATTGGGATGGATTAAGAGAGTAAACAGGAAGGAAATACTTGACTGGAAGGATGAAGATGGTAACACAGTCTTCCATATCGCTGCATCGATAAATCAGACTGAGGTAAAAGATGTTCTCTTATCATTTAGTTTCTTATTCTCCTTGAAATGCTTGTTCAGACATTTTTGTTTGTATGCTCCCATGACCTTAGTATAGGCATCTTATTCTTATCAATTTTTGCAGGTCATGAAGTTGCTGCGTAAAACCGTAAAAGTAAAAGCCAGGAACTTGGATGGCAAAACCGCTATGGACATACTTCAAACTCACCAATCTCCTTGTTTCCCTGTAGCAAGAAAACTTCTAAAAAGTGCTAAAGAAAGACTATTTTGTGGTTCCACAACGACTCTTGCGGAATATTTGAGCAAAAATCTATCGTTTATTGAGAAACGGAACAATCTCTTGGGGCTGAGCAATTTGAGCATGACTAAAGACAGGTCTATAAACGCTAGTGACCCTCGCAATGTAATACTTGTGGTGGCTATACTCATAGTAACCGCTACATACCAGGCTGGTCTCAGTCCTCCCGGCGGGTTTTGGCAGGATAATTCTTCAGAGCATGAAGATTACAATAGTCATCACACCGCTGGGCAGATGACTATGTCGTTCTTCGATGCCTTTTTCTTTATTAGCCTCAACGGATTTGCCTTCGTATCATCTCTATATGTGATAATAATCATCACAATTGGACTCCCCAAGTGGAAGTTAATCTATGGTTCAATGGCGGCTTTAAGTATCGCTACTTTAGCATCATACAGCACTATATTCCCGGATCCATATGGCCTATATTGGAATATCGCAGCGTTCATCGTCCCCTATACATACCCATTGATTATAGGAATCATGATGTTTGCTACTTTCATGGCATTCATTGTTGATAAACGTCGTCGGCACCAAGTAGACTTCCCAGCGAGCTGCTTCAGCTCATCTCAGGAGCTGTGAAGGTATAAGTGTTATACGTAGACGGAGGCTGTCTAAACCTTTTGAATTTGTGTTGCTTTGTTAGAGTGTACTGTCATTATTACGGTATAAAATAGTTATTCTCCTTAAACCATTTGAAACAAGAGAGAAGAATTGAACAATATAGATTCAAAAACTAATCATCCCATACTTTATTACTTTTGCTCCGATAACTGAGTTTACCGGGAAAATCAAAACCCGGAATGTGTTTGTATCTGTAATAATTGTCTCGTTTTTATTGTATGGGTAAGTTAAGAAAAAAAAACAATGGTCTTGACATGTCTCCATGAGAAGCTTACTGTCATAGTGGGATTTAGTTGTCGCCATAGAGCCACTTCTCAGAGTTACTGGTGTAAGAAACAAGTTCTTGAGGCTTAAACCACAGACTGATCTCATCCTTTGCTGTCTCTGGTCCATCACTTCCATGGATTATGTTCCTGCAATTTCACATTTCAATCACCAAATCTTCCAAAATGTTCTAATGCGAAATGAAAAAGAGAGAGAAAAACAAAACATACCTGCCAACAGTAACTGCAAGATCTCCTCGGATTGTTCCAGGCTCAGATTTCTGAGGATCGGTGGCTCCAATCAGTTTACGTCCGTATCTGATCACACCATCTCCTTCCCAGACCTAAAAACGAGTCAATATTAGTCCATTTTCTTTGAGTTTGTTATCAAATTGCAAAAGTTGAATTAAGAGTTTCTCTTATCTTACCATGGCAATAACAGGACCAGAGCTAAGGAAGTCACACAAGCCATTGAAGAAAGGTCTTTCCTTAAGATCATGGTAATGCTTCTGTGCAAAATCTTTGGAAGGGACAATGACTTTGATACCAACAAGCTTGAATCCCTTGCGTTCGAATCGAGAAATGATTTCTGATATCTGAGATGGTATTTAGACATATGATTAAGAAAACTATAACAACTGAGACCAATCAAGTCTAAGCAAAAACCAAGCTTTTCTTTTTATTACCAGTCCTCGCTGCACTCCATCAGGCTTGATAGCGATAAAAGTTCGTTCCATCTGATTAAAACAGAAATGTTCAGCAACAACGATTACTAGAGATCAGGGATACATAGGAGAGAAATACTAAAAATGGTTTAATCTTATTACCTCAGCAGCAAGAACCTCTTGATCTTGAATCATATAGGCTATAACAGAAACAATAGAACATAACATCGGTCAATACTTCACGATTTTTAAAACTAATGGAGTCTAAAAGATTCGAAATTTATCCTATTCTAATCAAACTAACATGTGATTTGGCTACATTTTTCGATATATTCAAAGAACGAGGCTAAAAACCTGCAGCAGGAAGAGCTAAGAGTCCAGTGATCCAACTCTTAGAGGAAACACCAGAACCTGATGATCTTACAAAGTTAGATGCATACAAAGGAATCTTCCCCGACGCCGAAACCGCTGCCGCAGCACCAATGGCTCTTCCTTCTGAAAAACCAATCATCCCCAAATCAAGAAATAAGAATCATCAGATCTTAAAAAGCTAATTTGATTAGAACCTTAACTATTATAATCCCAAATTCAGATTCTTTCTTCCAAGAACAACACACAAGAGCATAATGATCCCATCACTGAATCAAATCTCATCAGATTTATATCAATTTTCTCAAAAACCCACAAATGAAAATCAAATTCTGAATCAATCAATCGATTTCACGAAGAATCAAAAACAGAGAGAAGATTGTGAACGTACCGGAGAAGAAACGAGCATTTTTAGCTGAAGAAAGAAGAGATTTGGCTGCTTTGGAAGCAGATCTGCAGATTTGGGAGCTCATTTTTTTGTTTTGCAGAGAGAGAGTGATGAAGTGAAACTGAAGCCTTGGAAAATGTGGAGATGATGAGGTTTTGTTGGGTCGGGTTTTTATAATAGCCCACGTGTTTCGGGTCGGGTTTTTATCGGATTCGGGTCAGAAACCCTACCCAAAGAGTAAGTAGTAGGCAGAAAGAATTATCACGAGTCACGTATTTGGTAAAACGTATGTGTTATGTGGACTTAGTCATCATAGATTCACAACTTTAATTTATAATTTTTTTGTTTTCTTTTTATCTTTGTTTCTAGAAACACAATACAAAAGATTTGCAACTGGGAAAATTATTGAGGAGTATTATGTAAATATTATATAGTTATGATTGTGTTTCCATTTACGATTCGGTTGTATCTTGTATATCAAGTCTAGAATATTCTAGTAGGGTTCACAAGCGATGTATATATACTCTAGTTGAATATCAATACAACTATCTCTTTCTCGCCATCCTTTCATGGTATCAGAGCAGGTTTCTTAAAAAAAAAAAAAAAAAAAAAAAAAAAAAAAAAAAATTCGAGAGAAGAACAGAGAGATCGATGGCAACAAAACCAAAGAATACAACATTCGCGCTAGCGGAAGGCAGCGGAGGTGGTGCGACAGTGACGGAGAACGCGAGGTTGTCTCCGTTTTATCTCCATCCTTCGGATGGACCCGGAAATTTGATAACAACGGTGCAGCTACGTGGAGACAACTATGAGGATTGGTCCAGACACGTGCGAAATGCTTTGAGGACTAAGAGGAAGCTAGGGTTCATAGATGGAACCCAACCAAAACCTATGAAGAAAGAAGAAATCGAACAGTGGGAAGTTGTTAATTCCATGCTTGTAGCATGGATCATGAATACCATTGAACCAACGCTCAAAACGTCGATTTCGATGGTCGATGAGGTGAAGTTTTTATGGGATGATTTGAAATTGCAATTCTCGGCTGGGAATGGGCCAAGAATGAGTGAATTGCGTGCAGATTTGGCGAATTGTAGACAACTTGGAGACAGCGTGATGGTGTATTACGGCAAGCTTAAAAAGATGTGGGATGAACTTGCAGTCTATAAACCAATTCGCTCATGTTCTTGTGGAGAACTTGCGAAACAACTGGAAGAAGATCGTGATGAGGAACGTACTAATACGTTTCTTAATGGGTTGGGACAGTACGCTCTACTATAACAAGCATCGAGCCACTTCCCAAACTTTCCCAAGTTTATCAACGTATTATTCGAGAAGAAAGACAACAAAATATGATGCGTGGTAGAGAAGAACAAACCGATGCGGTTGGCTTTGCTGTTTCTGCTGGGAATCGAGCACACTCCTCTTACGTGAACGACCGAGAAAAAGACGTAACTTGCACACACTGTGGAAAATATGGTCATGCTAAGTCTGATTGCTATCAGATTAAAAGTTTTCCGGAGTTGTGGGGAGATAGAGGTCGAAATAACTATGGAAGAGGTGCTCGCGGGGGACGTTCTGGTCGCGGAGGAGGCATGGTCGGACACTCTGCTGGACGAGGACGTGGAATGACGGCAGCAGGGAGAGCTCATGTTGCATATGCTGGCCACGCAGCCCAACATGGTCCGATTGCATCTGCAGGAAACGGTGCCAAGAAAGAATTGGACCGTGATTCTCTTCCAAACTTGACAGATGATCAATGGACTGCGGTTGTGAAGTTTCTCAATACCAAGCAACCAGATTCTGTTGACACCTTGAGTGGTAAGAAAGATCGGGTTGAATTTATTATTGATACAGGGGCTTCACATCACATGACGTGGAGTTTGAGTCTCTTGTGTGATGTTATTGATATTTTGCCATGTTCGATTGGTCTTCCTGATGGAGATTGGGCAATGGCAACTAAACAAGGCGATCTTTGCTTAGGAGGAGATCTTTGGCTCCGTGGAGTTTTATATTCTCCGGATTTAAAATGTTCCTTAATATATGTGGCAAAGTTGCTTAAAACAATTAAAGGATCAATCACATTTACTGAAGATTTATGTGTTTTGCAGGACCGTACCTCGAAGACGCTGATTGGCGCTGGTGAAGAGTGCGGAGGGGTCTATGTGTTTTGCGGTGTTATTGGTGCTCAAGCTCATACGGCAACGGGTTTACGAGCATGTGATCTTTGGCATCGTCGTTTAGGACATCCTTCTAATAGGATTTTATCGTTTTTATCCAGTTATGTTGATGTTGGGAAAATTGTTGAGACATAAGTGATTTGTGATACTTGTTGTCGGGCTAAACAAACCCGTGATTCTTTTTCTGAAAGTTCTAATAAAGCTGCCGAATTATTTGCATTGATTCATTGTGATATTTGGGGACCGTATCGTACTGTCTCGTCTTCGGGAGCTGCTTATTTTCTCATAATTGTGGATGATTATTCCCGTGCAGTGTGGATTTTTCTGTTACAGGAGAAGCGTGAGGTGGCGGATACTATTCAAAAGTTCTGTGCAATGGTTACAAGACAGTTTGATAAGAAGGTGCGGATTGTTCGGAGTGATAATGGGCTCGAGTTTATGTGCTTAAGCCATTTTTCGAGAAAGAAGGAATGTTACATCAAACATCTTGTGTCTATATGCCACAGCAAAATGGACGTGTTGAGAGAAAACATCGATATATATTAAATGTCTCTCGCTCACTCATGTTTCAAGCTAGCTTACCAATTCGTTTTTGGGGGGAGTGTGTCCTAGCTGCGGCTCATTTCATCAATAGAACACCGTCAAATTTGCTGCAAGGTAAGACACCTTATGAAATGTTGTATCGAACAACCCCTAAGTTTGATATGTTGAAAGTGTTTGGATGCTTATGTTATGCACATTCGAAGTCCAGAGACAAAGATAAGTCTGGTGAGCGTAGCAGAAGTTGTGTGTTCGTCGGATATCCATATGGGCAGAAAGGTTATCGTGTTTTTGACATTGCGAAGGAAGAATATTTTGTATCCCGTGATGTTGTGTTTCATGAACAAGAATTTCCCTTTGCTAAGTCTAGTGATTCAACTTCACCACTTCCGTTAGGTATGTTAACAACAAAATTTTTTGATGATGAACATGTGGTGCCAACTCCTAGTGTACCACAGGATGTTCCTGTTGAAGATGCTGCAGATAGTTCCTCTGCAGAAGCCAGATCGATCGATCAGCCGGAGGGACCGATCGATCCGCCACAAGACTCACCAGCCTGCACGACACCCGCATCTACTGGATCGATCGATCCTGATACTCGATCGGTCGATCCCAGTACACCACAGGTCGATCTGCATGTTACTGTTGCGGCTGATCGTTCCAAGGGGGAGAAACTTCAGGATGCTGCTCATTCTTCTTTACAAACTGAGATTCCTGAGTTGGCAGGTAAACGTCAAATTAATATTCCTAAGAAGTTGAATGACTATGTCCTCTACACGACACAATGCACTACTGACCCCTCCCCTCGCACTACTGCTACAGCGTCTTCTCCCTCAGGTATGGTCCCTTATCCGATCTCGAATTATGTTTCATGTGAACGGTTCTCTGATAAACACCGGGCTTTTCTTACTACTATCACCTCCAAGTCAATACCAAAGTCTTATGCAGAAGCAGTTTTAATACGAGTTTGGTGTGATGCGATGGGAGGTGAGATCAAAGCTCTTGAAGAAAATGATACTTGGTACTTAACGGATCTTCCTCCGGGAAAGAAGGCTATTGATTGTCGGTGGGTCTATACGATTAAATATAATGCTGATGGGACGGTGGAGCGTTATAAGGCACGATTAGTTGCTCGGGGCGATAGACAAGTTGCGGGCAAAGATTTTGATGAGACTTTTGCTCCAGTTGCTAAAATGACTACGATAAGGCAGTTTTTTAAAGTTGTTGCTGTCAAAGGCTGGGAGGTGCACCAAATGGACGTTCACAATGCATTTTTGCATGGAGATTTAGATGAGGAGGTGTATATGAAGTTACCTCCGGGTTTTCACTCTTCTAATCCGAACAAGGTATGTCGTCTCCGCAAATCATTATATGGTTTACGTCAGTCACCGCAGTGTTGGTTTGCCAAGCTTACCACTGCATTACTTGGTTATGGATTTGTTCAAACAAAGACGGATTACTCTTTGTTCTATCTTGCCCGTGGTAAAATTCGGCTTTATGTGATTGTCTATGTGGATGATTTGGTAATTGGTGGAAATGATCATGCGGATATATCTCGTTTCAAAAGATACTTAAGTGAATGTTTTCACATGAAAGATTTGGGTCCTTTGAAATATTTTCTTGGTATTGAAGTTGCACGATCTCCGGAAGGTATTTATTTATCCCAACGAAAATATGCCCTTGATATTATTGATGAGTGTGGTCTCTTGGCGGGAAGACCGGTTTCTGCACCGCTTGAGCAAAATCACCGTCTCCTACTTGATGATGATAGTCCGTTGTATTCTGATCCGGTCCAATATCGCCGCCTTGTTGGTCGACTTGTTTATCTTACAATCACACGTCCAGAGCTCTCTTATGTGGTTCATGTTTTAGCTCAATTTTTACAACAACCTAAGGTGAAGCATTGGGACGCAGCCACCCGAGTTATTCGTTATTTGAAAGGGAGTCCGGGACAAGGACTTTTATTGTCAACAAAAAGTGATCTCCGCATTACGGCATACTCCGATTCGGATTGGAATCATGTCCTCTTACAAGACGCTCAATTACGGGTTATGTCGTTTTACTAGGAGGATCTCCCATTGCTTGGAAAACCAAGAAGCAAAAGACTGTTTCTATGTCTTCTGCGGAAGCAGAATATCGTGCAATGAGCTATGCGACTCGGGAGTTGAAGTGGGATCGTGAATTGCTCTCATGTTTTGGTATTCCTCATCATGATCCGATACTACTATATTGTGATAGTCAAGCCGCTTTGCATATTGCTGCCAATCCGGTTTTCCATGAACGTACTAAGCATATTGAAGCGGATTGTCATTTTATTCGGGATGAGATAGTGGCAGGTGTTTTGGCTACCAGGAAAATACACACTTCCAACCAGATTGCAGACATGCTTACGAAGGCACTTGGCTCTTCGCAACTAGATCATCTACTTCGCAAGCTGGGCATTCGGGACCTTCATGCGCCAACTTGAGGGGGAGTATTGAGGAGTATTATGTAAATATCATATAGTTATGATTGTGTTTCCATTTACGATTCGGTTGTATCTTGTATATCAAGTCTAGAATATTCTAGTAGGGTTCACAAGCGATGTATATATACTCTAGTTGAATATCAATACAACTATCTCTTTCTCGCCATCCTTTCAAAAATCACCATTACCACCAGCAACTGCTCGTAATCTCGACAAACAGGTTCGAAATCGGATCTCCTATATATATGGGCAAGGAGATAGAAGATATAATGGATGTATGGAAGTTTGGTTTGCTTCAAGATAAGCATAAAGAATAAGTAGCCTTATGAGATGTATACAAAACTTTTAACCAATCGTTACACTTGATGTAAAAACGTTTTTTTCGAATAAATTTTACATTTTATTCCAAAAAAAAAAAAGATTTACAACAATTTTCATTAAATCCAGTTTTATGTGAATGAGAATATCGATAGAAACACAATAGTTGATTTATTGAACAATTTTGTAAGAAATGAGGTATCTACTACACCTATTTGCTTCAAGCTAATTCTTTAGCAAGGGACATTGTCAAAAATGTGATTCGGGATGCTTTAGATCACATTGGATTGACCAGTTTGGCTTCACTCTCGCATTAGAGAAGAAAGACATGTTTAGTTTTCTCCTTTTTTTTCATTGATTTTATATTGTTAAGTTTATGCTCTGTTTATAGCTCTGTTTTTGCATTTTTATGCTATGTTTTAAAGTCGCTTAATTTAATTAATAATGACAAAAAAAAATAAACTACACCTTTCAAGATCATAAATGGAAGATAAAGAGCATAGCATAACAATCTTATAACATACTTCAACACAAATTTTCTTGTCCCAATGTATATTTGGGAAAAAGGTTTTCACTTTTAATACATAGAAAGGAAATTAAGAAAGAGATCGTTCAGCTTTTATTTTTGACCACAGAACATAAAAGATAGATAAATCAGCTTTAGTACTTGAGACCAAGATTGAGCTCAAGCCTCAAGGGACACACTCTCAGCATTAGTACCATCATTGTTGTTAGCACCATTGTCCTCTTCATTTCCCCCAATTCCATTCACTCCAATCTACCACCAAAAATCGTTAATGAGATGGATATGTAGCAGCAAAAAAGTTAACCTATGTTTGGACTTGTCAATATATAAAATATTTTTCTCCTCGAAGGGTAGAAAAATAAGTTTCAAAGACACATGTTTGAGATTTTTTGGTGTCACTATTAGAGGAAAGAGTTGTATATAAATCCTCTCTTACTAGAAACTTTTATGGTATTTTCTATATAAAATCATCCATCTTCATATGCAACAAGTCTACACAGTTATGTCTCTAGGGTCTACATGCATGTATATATCATGATTGTAACTTAAAAATTGCAAATAAATCCTTACCTTTGATGATTGATAGAGACACTTGCAAGAAACTTCTCTAGTCCCATTACTTGATTCTCCAACTTCGATTATGCTTTTATGCATCTCCTCTTCTTGACTACAATAAATCATTAAAACTTGTATTACTTTTGAAAATGAAATACAAGTTTGTTAAACCATTATTACTTAACTAGTTTACGAACCTTTGTTGCTTTGGGATAGGGTTGACAATTTTTTGAAGACGTTCATATTGACGAAGGTGTAACTGTGTTTGCCTCCAAATCACTTCTCTTATTAGTCTATCCCTCAAATTGGCTTGCATCTCCTCTACCATAGGATTACATTTATGTGTATTTTATATAAATTTTATGCACACATAAAAATAGTCAATTTCCAACACAAGCATCTTTATATAACTAAAATTTTAAAGTCCAAGTATATTTATTTACCTTGTTTGCGCTCTTCCTGTCTGTACATCTTTTCAAGGCAAATAAAATAAAGTTGGTTTAAATACACAAGCCAAAAATATGACACTATATGATGCATATATAGTGATAGGTAGATATTAAATGATATTGCTATATCTATGTTAAAACCTGGAGATGACTCTTCACTTGTGATATTGTGAGTCCTCTCACATTCATTTTCTTTAGAATATAATTTGGAGTTGCCTCTGCAATTTGAAATAGTTAAATACCATTCTCTATTTACTTTAAAAACTGAAATAAGGAAATTATTTAACATTGGATTCCAACTGAGAAATCATCTTTTGACTAAGAGTTTGATTAAAAAAAATATTATGATGATATTTTGTTAAAGATTTTCTCGATTTATTTTGAAAACTTGTATTGAACAAGAAAAACATTCATGTATATACTTTCTTCTCCACCGAGTTCATCAACCGCGTAAACAAAGTGGCGGTGAAGATCGGCGGTCCATCGGCGTCGTGGCATTTCCGACTTATTATAAGATCTAACGATCTGGTTTCTCATAGATTTTTTTCTAGAAATTCACAGATTTCTATTTATTTATAAAAATGACTATTTTTTTGCTCTATTTATAATGGTTGAAAAATCGTCAACGGTGTAAACAATTAACATTAAATTAGAAATAAAATAAAAGATTAATTTTAGGAAACAGTTTTACTTAGCCTGTCATTTTTTTGCTAGCTTTCTTAAATGTTCCATATATTCTTTAAAAAAGTTAAAACTTTTCCATTATTTGAACATAACAACATTTAAATTTCCAAATTTGGTTTTAAAATAACTTTATAATAATATTTCTAAACATCAATATGAATTTACCAAACCTATCCATTTTCTTTTAAACAAATTACTCAAGAGGATCGGCTTTGCGACGGGAACCGATTACTTCGGTCAATGAGTTTGTTTTCGCCGTCGTAGCCGCAAAGCAGTGTTTCTTGTAATTGCTGGTATTAATGGATGTGTTGTCTTGTTTTCCGATCGACCTCCCGATCCGATCTCGTATCACCGGATCTTGTTTTGTATCCGTGATATCGTTGTAAGGTTTTCCTTTTGACCTTGGGCCTAATGCCCGTTTGAGAATTTTAAAAAAAAATTACACTTTTTTTTTTGCCTAAAAAAGAAAAAAAGAAAAAAAAACTTACTCAAGAGACATCATACTTGACCAATTGGGGTTCCAATAGAAGCAAACCATTACGAACCAATCATATTCTAAAATGTACCATTTTTATTATTGTAAAAGGCATTCAAATTTTTAAAATTTGGATTTCGGATTCACACACCCAAGTATTTATTTATTCGTGGCTTAAAAAGCTCTAAAGATTAGAATACAAGATACTTCTTGGACCTTCGAGCTCTCGGCCCATTGCTTGCTCTCGAGCTCGATCTCCTTCGCTTCGGTAAGTTTTCCGAGCTCTTTGCTTCGGGTACTCACTTCGGTTCTAGGATGTATTTTGTTGACCACCATTTCATTGAGTCTTGGCCTACGTATCAATCTTCGGGTGGATCCGAACACGGAGTTTGGGATCTGACACCAACAACATAGTAGACCATCCTAGTCCTTACTCCTTAGTGACTTTTGCATTCCTACCATTTCAAGTTTCAATATTTAGAGTGTTTTCATATCTAGCATTTAGGAGAAATCTCACTTATCTAAACAAAAACTAATAAAACTTAAGCCGTAACAACTTATAGACATCTTCAACTTTTGATGAGCATAGAATCTTTATGGACTATAGATCACAATCACGACTAAAGTCTACATTGCAAAGCTTTAACCCTAACAATTAATTAAGTCAAAATTTTAACACTTACAATATCGACCCACATAAGAATATATCTTGAATTGTTATCGAATACATTTTTATATGATTTATATAACACTAGAGTTCTATAATATAAGTAACTGAAAATGTTGGCTTAATATCGTATAAATAACAATACAAATAGATTTTTTGCAACGACATAACTGAAAAAATATGTGGCTAAAGAAGCATTGCTAAAGTAAAAACAGTCCGTGGCCATCAGTGGGCAACATGGCATTGACGCACGATCAAGATTTCCCGGGTGACTTTCAATTCACTCAAGCTAAAATGGATGCCATATATCAGTAGGTAAGAAGTTTATTTTTATTTACTTAGTAATTTACATTTAATTAGACTTAAATAAAGATTTAATATGTTTTCAACATCGTCTTGATGAAGGGCGGACGGTTTGGATGTGGATCCATTCCTCTTGGATCTTGGTGATGAACTGATGATGTCGGCCAAAGTTCTTCCATGTAATCTTATGAAGAAAAGTATATCTAAACCAAGAGTAAAAAGATTGCAAAGTTGGACGTAAATATGAGGAGTTCCATGATGCAACATATTTATTTCGACATGGACCACATGGTCCCGCCTTTTAGGAGAACCCAAACCCAGTACCAAAATGTAAACAACCCGTTTGATTTATAATTTCAGTTTTTATGTTTTTAATTTGATATTTTGGTTTGTGATTTGAATAATAATTTTTATTTGAACAAAAAAAAAATAACTATAAATTTAAAATTTTCAATTTAGTTTTTGGATTTTTAGTAGAAAATTAACTATAATTTTAAAATTTTCAATTCAATTTCTATCTTAGACTATCTTCTACTCATTTCTCTATTTTCACTCTAACTATATAGTAAATAAAAACTAAAGTGGAGTTTTGGTCCAATTCATTACTTTATATACTACCTTAAAATAAATTCAATTATATTATTATATTTTTTGTTCTACTATTAATTTTTTAAAAACCCTTATTTTTTAATTTAAAATTTTTATTTATTTATTTCAACAATAGTTCACTGAATTTACGAATATATTCTATTTCCAGAAAACGAGATTACACCTTATAACATATGTCCATGTATTTGCAATTTGAGTCGATAGTGTAAGTTTGATGTGGAAAATGGCTTTGCTGCATTTTAAAATCCTAAAGCACTAGATAGCTAAATTCATTTTAATATAAGTTTGTAAAGTATAAAATTAAAAATATTTTTTTTACATATAAATTGAAAATATATCAAATTTGAATAATCACTTTGTAAATAAAAAAAGTTTCACTCTTAAAATAGAGTAATGAATTGTGTTACTCCAAATTTAGAGTAACACTCTTTATAACTCTATTTTTGGTGTGGGATCTGGAGGTGATGCTCTTAAACTACCGGGTTTTAAGCCGCGAACTCACTCAATCACTTAACTTTGATTCAAATATAGCAATCGATCATTAAAAAAAGCTCTGTTTCTACGAGAGAACGAGAGAGAAAAATGACGTCGCAGATAAGATTCATTTTCGAGGTGGAGGCGGCTAAGGAAGCCACCGATGGCAATCCCTCGGTTGGTCCTGTGTATCGTAGTACTTTTGCCAAGGACGGTTTCCCAAATCCGATTGATGGAATCCAAAGCTGTTGGGATATTTTCCGGTCAGGATCTCATCTCATATCTTTTTATGTTTTCCCAATAGATAATGTGTTGATGCAATTAGTGTAGATGCATTGTTATTCATGTTTATTTTTTGTTAAAGTTGCATTGCATCATCATTTTGAAACATTTGATTGTGATAAATGTATATCAGATTAGGAATATTTTATTTAATGTTTAGTGTCAATCGTTATAAGATCCATATTTTAAAATACATTTAATTATGTCTTTCTTATTTGTGATTTTTTTGTTTATCATGCTGCATGGCATTATCTTAGATAATTTTAGGGTGGCATTTTTTATTAACTGCATTAGGCCTATTAAAAATTTTGATCTTACAATAATATTGTTCTTTCTCTAACAAGTTTAACTTTGTTTATCTCAGTGGTACGGTTTATGAATTTTTAACGATAATGTGTTTTTTTTTTGTTTTTTATGGTGTGCTTCTGCTTGCAGCACGGCTGTTGAGAAATATCCAAACAATCGAATGCTTGGTAGCCGTGAGATTGTTAACGGGAAGGTGTTACTATTTCATTGCATTTTAATTATTTTGTAATCGATTTTGTAGTTTATAGCTTAATTATCTATCTACCAATCTGTTTTTAATTCTTAGGCAGGAAAGTACGTGTGGAAAACATACAAAGAAGTATATGACATTGTCATAAAACTTGGAAATTCTCTACGTAGTTGTGGGATTCAGGAGGTTAAAATTTCATATTTACGGGTTTTTATAATATCTTCAAATGTGGTTTTATTGTGCCTTAAGTGTGTCTCTTATGTTTTGATATGTGGAAATGTAGGGAGAAAAATGTGGTATTTATGGTATAAACTGTTGTGAGTGGATCATTAGCATGGAGGTTAGTGGAATATATGTATAATCTTTGCTAATACCTTTGATTTTTTTTACTTTGACTTGATTAATAGTGCACTTATAATGCAGGCATGTAATGCACATGGCCTATATTGTGTCCCTTTATACGATACATTAGGTATAAATATACCAACCGTTATTATGTGTTTTTGATGATCCTACTCTTTTTGAGTGTTCTCTAGTGTAGTAAAACAGTCTGGTTTTGAACACAGGCGCTGGTGCAGTGGAATTCATCATTTCTCATGCAGAGGTTTCAATTGCTTTTGTGGAGGAGAAGAAGATCCCTGAGGTATATATTTCACTTTTTTTTTTTTTATTGTAACTTTGTTTATAACCCTTGACAATTATCCTGTGAATTTTAATTAACTTCCCTTTTGATTGTCAGCTTTTTAAGACTTGTCCAAACTCAACAAAATATATGAAGAGTGAGTAATACTAATTGAACCATTCACTCTCTTTTATTTATATACTTGTGATCCTAATGATCAATCATGCTTAATCACAAATGAAGCTGTTGTGAGCTTTGGCGGTGTCAAACCCGAACAAAAAGAAGAAGCTGAAAAATTGGGATTGGTAATACATTCTTGGGATGAGTTTTTGAAGCTGGTAAGACTTTCATTTGCTTTTTTTTTTTTTTTTTTCCCGGAATTCCTAACAATGATCATTCACATATAATATGGTATATAATATATATTCTGTTTATTTATTTTTTTGGTTTATCTATGACATTGACAGGGTGAGGATAAGCAATATGATCTTCCTATTAAAAAGCAAAGCGACATATGCACGATTATGTATACTAGTGGAACCACTGGTGACCCTAAGGGAGTTTTGATTTCAAATGAAAGCATT